AATGCCTCTCTTCATGAAATGATAAAAAGTCAGCTATACACAGCAATCTCAAAACTGTCATAAGGAGTCTGACTTACTTGTCATCAACTATTTATGTCCAGAATCTATTTAGAACATCAGGCCCTCTGGTTAAATACAAATAATCCCTTTTCAGTGCAAAACCTGTTAAGTGCCTCATTTTCCCAGAGACCCAGTTCTACAGATGTCTCTCTGGAGGATGAATTGGTTGTAAAAGAAAATAAGTGGAAATGGAAGAGCTGTTGAGTGATTCGCATATTTCTTTACAATTTTTGCTCACAGGTGGACCTTGCAATTGCTGCATTTGACAGTCTTTGCCATAAAGTGTTCCTCTGATGCCCATTTTCTGCTCCATGGACTAACTCTGAAGAAATGGGGGAGGGTTGTTGTGTGCAGCAAGGCCAGCATCCTCCTGTTGGTCTGCCTTACACCATGATCACAGACACTGGGTGTATCTACATGAGGCATTTACTGTGCAGTAGACTACTCAGCTGCACAGTAAATATCTCAGCATCTACACATGCACCCCTATCAGGCTGGAGTAAACTAATTCACTCTGCAGCATGGGATAGTATTTGTAAATACAAGTATTACCCTGCTGTGGAGTAAAAAATGCAGCAGCGCATGTGTAGACACTGCCCTGGCTGGCTGGGGCAGGAAGGCACTTCAGTACAGGGTTGCATGCTGGCTAGCCCCATGCTGAAGCACCCTCGTGCCCCAGCCAGCCCCTCTGCAGCATGTTGAGCCAAGGTACACAGCCCCGGGCTGGCAGGCTGACCCTCCAGGTCCCCTGCCAGCTGGGGCTGCTCCAACCTAATTCAATGTGCTGCGGTCCTGGTTGTACATTCAAAGGCCAATAAACTCTACAGTTTATTGCTCCAGCATTTATTGCTGCCAGGCGCATGCTCAAATAGTGCACCTGGCAGCAATAAACTCCGGAGTTTATTGCTTCGCGTTAATTACACATGTAGACATGCCCACTGTGGGGTTTCAGTTGCTGTTTACAGCCACAGTTCCTATGCAGAGAAAATTGCTCTCATTCCAGTTATGCAGACAAGCCTTACCCTTAAATCTAGCTCAGCTGCACAGGACTTACTTATGGGTTCCCTGCACAGGTACTTCTACATGTTTCCTTATTCCTTCAGTAAAGTGGAGGCAAGATTTGCTTAAGGCTACTGCACAGGCAAGAAAAGTCACAAAAAACTAAACCTTTCTTTCACTGTTTGTCATATGATCTGCTTTATATTTTCTCTGCCCTGAATAGTGGCCCATACTTGTGTCAGACTCTATTTATATGGGATGTGTGTGTTTGGTAGGGGTGGTGGGGACAGATTTGGGGTTTTTTTACTCTCAGTTCCTTTCAGGTTCTCCATCCTGTCAGCTGGCAGGACAGGACAAATATGTTTAAAAGAATCTGTTTAAAAAAATATTCCATTCAAAATGATTCAAAGGTCTTACTCCTAGAAGATAATTTTTCTGGTAGTCATGAATTACCTTCAGCAGTCAGGTAGAGCACTTAAGTCCCTGTATATCTCCATTAAACACAGAGGCAAGAAGGTGATGTTAATCATTTTACCAATGAACAATCAGCCTGGGGGAATGTTAAAAGTGACTGATTAACAACCTAACAACTGTGACTTTGGATGGATGGTAGACAACTCTGTCCAAGGTGTTCTTAATGGATTGGCATGGCAGCTGCTGGGCAAAGCTATTTCTCCTCCAAATGAATAATTATATCTTCCACAAATCAACACAAAGGCTGCTGTTTTTCTGCGTAATAATAACTATTAGACATGCAGAAGCTAATCCTGGGATGAATGCCAGAGGGGAGCAGGGGCCTGGTAGCACACAGCTCATTGCCACAATGGGCCAGAGCCCTCTTGGACCTGAGGCTTCTCCCTCAGGATCCCCATCAACATGAAGAAACCACACAGACAAAGTGAATACACTGATTCCAGGTATACAAATTAAACCTTTTATTTCTTAAGTCCACTTCTCATGTTTCAAACACCAATAAACTGAACCAATGTGTTCTCCTCCTAAACAGACTTAATTAAAACTTATAGTTTAAAGCTTTTTTTTGTTTTTCCCTAGGAAAAGTGGTTTAATAATTACCCTA